TTGTGAAGATATCTCGCTAATTGTCGATTTGAGGAGACAAATGTGGTTCGAAGTTTTCCTTCTTGAATTTTATCTCGAACAAAATGACAATCAATTTCAACATGTTTTGTTCTTTCATGAAAGACTCGGATTGTTTGCTATATGGAGGGAAGCTTGATTATCACAAGATAAAGTGGCAGGATGTGGTGGAATACCCAATTCATGAAGAAGGGTGTGCAACCATGTGAGCTCACTAACCGCATGTGTCATGGCTCGATACTCGCTTCGGCAGAGGAGCGAGAAATCGTTGATCGCTTTTGTGTGCCAGCGAGAGGAGACTTGGACCCAAAAATATACAATAACCAAGTGGTTGATCTTCTAGAAGTGGGGCAAGAAGCCCAATCCGCATCACAATAGGCGTGCAAGCGTAAAGAAGAATTAGATGAGAGTAGGATACCATGGTCCGGACAGATTTGATATATCTCACCACTCTAAGTGTCTGCTCGCCAGTGTGTGTCACAAGGAGAAGACATAAACCGTGACGATAAGTTAACCGCATAAGTGATATCCTGGTCGGTGACTGTAAGGTATAGCAATCTACCAACCAATCGCCGATATGGAGCGAGGTCGATAGGACTTCACCATGATCAGCAACCAAAGTGTGATTGTAATCCAGTGGAGTTGTGACCGGTTTACTAGCAAGAAGACTCGTGTCGTGCAAAATTTCCAATGCATATTTCCGCTGATTAAGAAAAATTCCAGCTTTGCAACGTGCCACTTCAATTCCCAAAAATATTTCAATGAGCCCAAATCTTTTATGTTGAACCTACTGCAAAGGTATTTCTTTAAGAGTGAAATAACCAACGCATCATCACCTGTAATGACAATATCATCAACATAAACAAGTAAAATTGTTATATGGGATGCACTGGTAAATAAGAACATGGAGTAATCGGCCCTTGACCGAGTAAAGCCAGCCTCAAGCAAAGCACTCGAAAAGGTAGTGAACCAAGTGCGAGGTGCCTCGTTTTAAGCCATAAAGTGACTTGTGGAGTCGACAAACGCGACTCTCCCCTGTTTACGAAACCCAGGAGGAAGTTGCATGTAAACTTCTTCATGTAAATTGCCATGTAAAAAGGCGTTCGAAACATCCATTTGATGAGTTGACCAATTTTTTGTCGCTGCAAGACTAAGAACAATCCTCATAGTAGTTAATTTAGTAACAGGAGCAAAAACGTCGAGAAAATCAAATCCTTCTTGTTGTGAGTAACCTTTAGCAACCAAACGCGCTTTATACCTGGTCAATGGAGCCATCAAATTTATATTTGATACGATACACCCATTTGCAGACCTATAGCTGCTTTGTCGGGAGGCAAAAACTCTAAAGTCCAGGTATTGTTAGCCTCTAATGCCTTTAGTTCGTCCTCCATAGCCTGTCTCCAATGGGGATCTTTACGGCAACAAGTATATGAGGTGGGTTCAATGTGCTTGATAATAGAATTAATGAAATGGAGATGGTTATTTGAGTAAGGATTTGAGCAAAGAGAGTGTGAGATAGGATATTGCATACCCGGAGACGAGGAAGAAGATTGAGCGGAGGCCATATTGCACACGTAATCGACAAGGTGCGCCGGAGGCTTTTTGAGACGTTCGGAGTGTCTTGGTGCAAGGGTAGTCACCGTAGGAGTGTCAACCGCATGTGTGGGTTCAAGGGTGGTCACCTCGTAGGAGGGATTCAAGGGTTCAACAAGATGTGTGGGTTCATTATCATTGGGTTCTCGCAGAGGAGGGAGTGGAGAAGTGTTTCTAGGAGGTGTGGGGTTGGTTGAATTTAGGGGTTCTTGATCACAAATGGGTAGAGGAAGAGGGTGTCGTTCCATGTGTAAATCATGCAAAGCCTTACTATTCTTGAATGGAAATATTGTTTCATGAAAGATGACATCTCGACTAACTAGAAATTTATGATGATCAATGTCATATAGTTTAAAGGCTTTTTGACCACAGAGGTACCCCACAAAGATGCAACGTCTAGCTCTAGGTGCAAATTTATTTGGATGATCATGTGAAGTGGATGCATAACACAAACAACCAAATGTACGCAAGTGAGTGAAATCAGTGGATGGCCATAGAGTTTTTCATAAGGAGTTTGACCTAGCTAAAATTTTGGATGGTGTTCGATTTATTAAATAAGTGGCGTGAAGAATGCAATCACCCCAAAAATTAGTGGAAGATCGGCTTGGAAACGTAAAGCCCGTGCAACATTGAGAAGATGTCAGTGCTTACGCTCGACGACACCATTTTGTTGTGGGGTACCTGGGCAAGAGAATTGTTGGAGAATCCTAGAGTCACAAAGAATTTTCTGAAATGAATTATTTGTAAATTCAGTGCCATTATCGGAGCGGATTGTTTTTACACATGTCTGAAATTGATTTCGAACATAAGCTAAGAAATGAACTAACAAAGAATAGGCATCCGACTTGTATTTCATGAGATAGGTCCATGTGACACTGGAAAAATCATCAACAATAGTTAAAAAATAATGATGACCATTTTTTGTAGGTGTGGCATACTTTCCCCAAATATCAACATGAATTAATTCAAACAAACCACCGCTAGTGGGTGTGTGTAAAGGAAAAGGGAGTCTTGTTTGTTTTGACAAATGACAGACTTCACAATGGTCACAAGAGTCTTTATTGAAACCAAGAACAGGAGCTAAACACTTGAGGGCACTTGATGATGGATGACCAAACCTAGCATGCCAAGTGGTGGATGAGGTAGTGATGATGGCGGCAACAAAGGTAGAGACATCAAGGAAGTAGAGTCCACCCTTTTTATGGCCCCGACCAATCTCCTTCTTCGTCAAATGGTCCTGAAATACACAATGATCGGGATAAAAGGAAACAGAACAATTAGTAGTCTCGGGTGAGTTTTGGCACGGATAAAAGGTTGAATTTGAATGAGGGTACAAATAAGACATCGATCAAGATGATATCTCGATGTTATGTGTACATTTCCAAAGCCATGTATAGGAACCGAATGACCATTAGGAACACAAATAGATTTATGAAGAGAAGAAGGAATAGGTGGTTGTTGAAAAGAGGAAGGGGTGAAAGAAACGTGATCTGTTGCGCCAGTATCAATAACCCATTCAGTAGGCATACAGAGGGAAGAATAAAGAGCTAGAGACGCACATGTGAGATTGGCCTTAGGTTGGTTTACCTCCCTTAATAGGCGAAGAAGTTGCTGTAACGAATCTGCAGATAAAGGATCTTTCACAGCATCATTACGTTGGTCAGCACGAGTGGATGAAGTAGATGACTGTCCATGAGTGTTCCCTTTATTGTTGAGACCTGTAAGGACGTCACTCACAAGAGTTTGTCCAGGATTATCAGAAGAGTGAAGATAATAAGGGCTCTCCAAATTAAGGTTGCTGGAGGTAGACATGCTGCAGAGGTAAAAAAAATCAGAGTTGATTATAGAGATGCTTCTGATACCATGAAAGTATACCTCGAGAGCATATATTTCATTGATTGAGAGGCAAAATATATACAAGTGAATATACTGACCGTTACATAACATTAGAAGAGAAATAAGTTAAATCTCTAGAAACTAGGCAAGTATCTCTCCTATATTAAGTAGGTATCCCAATTTAAGCTAATTACAATATTTGACAATAATTACAATCATATCAGATTCTTGATTGTGTAACAATTAGTAACATAACATATATTATTATTATTAAATATAATAATATAATAATAATTAATATTATAATATAAAAATTAAAATTATACTAAAATATGTTTTTTTTAAATGAAAATTGAACACTGGAATCGTGAAGCACGACTTCCTTATTTTAATTTAAAATTTATTATTTTGATAAATTTTGAAACAAAAAAGACCCCTTTTGCATAAAAAAAAAAACCAAAAATAAGGATATTCTCATTATCAATTTAAATTAACTGATATGAAATAGTAAGGATGGTTATATATTCACAATCCTCGTTAGAAAAAACGCTAATATCTATTAGATAGTGTTATTATATTATTATATAGAGATTTCTAATAGATATTAAAAACAATGTCTAAATATATTTTTCAAACAATAAATAGAGATTCTATATACATTTTCTAAAGCTGATATACAAGAAAAATCAGCTCTGATGTCTTAATTACCGGATATCCTCAGACTCACCTTGTGAGACCAAATCTCTCTCCACAGCTTCATGATGCTCTTCCCAGGTGACTTGATGCAAATAAGAAAAAAAAAATCTCTTAATTGAATATTCATCGTAGAAATTTAAGTTTTAAAGCATTAAACACACCATCTTAATTAGCCATTATCGTGTGTGTTGTTAACTTCAATTTTAATTTGAGCATGTCAATATGATAATGATCAACTTCTGATACATATCTTTGACAAATTACAATTCAAAATGGTTTTAGTTCATCATAGAATAATTAACTCCATTGCCCCAAACAAAAAAAGGTTCATAAACACCCATTTTTCCCCTTTATTCAGAATTTTAAAACTTGTTAATAGATCAACGGCAAAGAATAAAGCTATGTTTATGTTGAGGGCTAAAATTGCGTAGGATATTCAACAGTATATGTTTTTTAGAAGTCAAATTCTGGTGAAAGCACTACATAAAGTGTAATATAGTATAAGCATTATTTGCGAGAGTTTTCCAGGTTAAGGCAAAAGGGAAAACCACTTTCACATAGCTTCTCCATTATACTAGCAAAGAAATATCCAAATACAGTAGCTGTAGAAAGTGGCAGATGAAGTACGCCTGCTGAGAGAGATCTTCACTTTCTGCCTCAGAGTATATATGAAGCTGGGCTTCAACATCAACATATTTATGGATCACTCTACTCACCAGCTTTGAAGTCCGAAGAAGTAAGTCTCTTGTAAGAACTAGCTAGATCTATATCACAAAGTCAATTTTTCTATAATATATGTGTATATATATCTTTGGTTTTTTGTTCTTTCTATTTGACAGAAGAAGACCAAGAGTTCCATGGAAGGAAACTATCTGACCAGAAACACGCATAAAGGGGATAGGTTTGGCTTTGAGGAGCATTCATGGGGAAGTTCATGGCCTGCTAGAAACTATGCCTGTAGCTTTTGCAAGAGAGAGTTCAAATCTGCTCAAGCCTTGGGTGGCCACATGAATGTTCACAGAAGGGATAGGGCAAGATTGAGATCTTCCTTACCCACATCATCATGGGTTTCTGAGTGTCCTAAACCTAACCCTAGCATTAAGCCTAACCCAACTCAACTTTCACCTTCCTCTCCATCATCCTGTCTATCTAACAATAACCTTTTGAATTGTGCTCATAGTTCTCCACTTTATAACCCTTCTCTGACTTTGTCCTTTTCACTTACCCCGCCGGTTTCTCTCAATAGCGATAAGAAACCAAAACTCGCATCTTCCCAGCTTCTTCCTCTTTCGGTTCCTCAGGTCAATGAGGAAATTAACAAAGGGATTGGTTCGGGAGTTGAAGAAGTACAGGGTTATGCAATAGGGGAGGAATGCAAGGTTTGCAAGAGTAGTGAGCATAACATCAAGCTGGAGTTGGGAATAGGGTTTATTAAACAACCAGAGAAGTTAGATTTGGAGCTACGATTGGGGCACTAATAGCTAGCTATGTAGTTTGGTGCAATTTGTCAAATATTGGCAGATCTACAAGTCTGTATAACTTCGAATTTGTTTAACTTCTTGAACCAGTAATATTTTTAACCCATTTAAGCTGCTTTTTTAATTCTATTCTGCATTTCAAGGACCTTGTATTTTGTGAACTTGAGATCTTCTAATTAGTGGCAATTTGTTTTCTTTTGTGGGGGAGAGGGAGTGTTTCTTTATAGTTTCTAACCATTTTGGATGGTTGATCCACGGTTCGTAGAAAATCAGCTTGTACAAACCAAGTGATACAAACTTATAAGGCCACTACTACGAATCACAAAAGAGATTAAACTTGGAAGATTCTTAATTTTCATACTGTTGTATAGGTCTCAAGTGGCAGACAAATTTCGCTCTTTCTTTTAAAAAATCTTCACCTTAATCGTCTGATCTGACAGTCAATGAGTAGAATTCTTGTTTAGTTTGACTGAATATAAATATTTAGTATGAATTCCTACAAACTATAAATGGTTTCCTCAGTCTCTCAAGATAGATGACGAACACGTGATATTCAGATTGATATTCTTTAAAGTATCCATGCATTTTCTTGGATACATGCACCTATGGTCTTTATATATCTTGAGGGTCGTTTCTGTCTTGTTCCTTCTTGGAAACACTTAATATAACCATGGTCAAACAGCAATCAATGAGATCAAACAAAACATATGCATTTATTATAATATTCACAGTAAGATTTATTATAATGTACATATAAATAAATAACCAAATCAACAAAGAAAGAAACTGAACGTTTTTTGTTATAAGTTAGACTCTATCTTAGTTATACAGTGCAGTTATTCAACCACACTTGTAGTTTCTTAGACTTCATAGCTAGTAATTTGCTTATTGAACATTCATTAATTAAAATATTGGGTAATTACGCTGGGAATTCTTCATAACTAAGCAGTATCTTCTCTTTCAATATAATTTTTATTAGGGTATTATGTTAGTGTACTTGTGTAGATGGACATATATGTAATTAATATATCGAGTAATATTAATCCTATACTAAATTTATTTTATGATTAAAAGAAAGATGTAGGCATGTAAAAAAGAAAGATGTAATAATAAAAAGATGTTATATGAAAAAAAGAGAAATAAAAAAATAATGACCCTATAATATCATAAGCAGGTATTTAATGCTCTCGGTGTGAATGGTATGCGATGATTCAGAAGAGCAAAAAATACGAACTAGAAACACGTATGAGATTACGTAAGCGTAATAATACAGGAGTAGAATGAAAAGGAAGACGCAGAAAATATGTCAGGGGACTCAGGAGGGACATTCAACCTGTTATGAATTTGATGTCCTTTTCAGATAAACTGTCAAACTGAACGTGGAGGATAGTGCGCAGAGAGATGAATTTTCTTAGCTAGATACATATATTACATGGTGTTATGTAGCTTTGGTAACTCAATTCGTTTTCCTTGTCTAATTTATTCAAAGTGGTAGATTTGGTGTGTGTAATGGGGGCCTTGTGTGTTTTCCAACATAAGATATGTTGCATGTTCCCTATGTGATGTGTGGTTTACATACCATGATGACCTTTCCCTAAAAACAAACGCAGAGTTTTTGTCAGTACCATCCGAAACAAGGAATGCTATGCTTTCTCTTTCTCTCTCTCTCTTTCTTAATTGGCCTGTGAAAATCAGTACCGAAAGATGGTTTGATTAAAGAGATTGATTATGGTTGTTTGGGGAAGTTTGAAAAAATATGAGAGCAGTGGCAGTGGAAGGACAGAAGGAAGGGTTTATTAAGGGGTCTAAACCATAGGTTTGAAGAAATGATCCAAATGTACGTGGTGCAACGCAATGATGTCACATAAGTATGAATGAGGAATAATGAAAGTGGGGGAAGAGAAAATGGACATTTGGGTGTACAACACAACCTGCCAAAAGTGCAGTTCTAGTGAAAGATGAGGAATGGGTTAAAGCAAGCTAGTCGGCGCACGTCACTTTCCTCTTTCATTCATTCATTCACTCACTCATTCACATCCTTATTTACTTTTACTCACCCAAACTACCCTTGCCATCAAACCCAACAACATAACATCTTTATTTTCTCTCTTCCTTCAACAAATCCTCACCTGACCCTATTATAAACTGTGTTTTTCTCTTCTTGGAGTATACACTGTAAATTTTTCAATAGCTTTTTTTATGCAAAATGCTCACCACTGCTGATCAATTTTATTACAGCTCTGTTGCGGGTTCATGCTAAATGGGGTACAACAAAGTGGAATAGGACGACTACATAATAATTTGAATGGGCTAATAAGCTTAGGGTACTGCTATTCTCATCCCAAATTTTGTTCTTTCGAATACTTACATGAAAACACATTTCTGATGAACAATATATATGCAGACTGATATGTTTTCTGTTAGGTGTGCACTCTTCATATACAATGAAAACACATCTTTACCTACAAAAACGCATTCACGTAACCCAATAACGTCATTTTTTTGACATATATATATATATATATATATATATATATATATATATATATATATATTAGGCAAGTGTAGAATTGACACTATTTTAAATTAATCAGAATAAAATAATAATTTACCTTGGCCCATTGTTAATCCTAAATAATTGAAATTGACATAATTTATAGCATGTGCAGAGATCAACTAGGATTTAACTCTTCTAAATTGAGTTTAACACAAGTTTTTACGATCTTTCTCCCTATTATCTCAATTTTAAAGATATTAGTTATAATAATTGTTATTTGTCTGACAAATTTTTGTACCAGTGTTTCTTCACTATGTAAGATAATGCAGTGATCATAAAGAGTGGTTGTAACATGCCATGTCTCATACTCATCAACTCCTATAAAAAGGCAAAACGTACTTAAGCATATACTATTTCATTTTGTTAGTGATGCTCTTCAAATTCATGCTTACTCAAGCTTTGAAATGTTTCCATGAAGAAATACTTCATCCATCCATTGGAAGAACCATTTCAAAATAGTAAAAATCTTACCACTTATTGAAGAAATCCCTTGTATTTTTTTTTTTCACAGACTCTTAATTAGGTAAACTTCTCACAGATAATAAATTAATAAATTATTTTTTCCTATAAAAAGTTATGTATAAAAATGTTATGGAGTTTATAGTGAAATCAATAGTAAATATTATGAAGAGGCTCTAAAATTAAATGAACGATAACTAAATGTATTTATTTAAGAGACTCTGCATATTAATTTGCATTTTAAAGCTTTTGATTATTATTCTCCCTTTAACATCAACCAACGTAAAATGATTAATTTTAGAGAAAAAAATATTAACAAAAAATAAATATCTAACACAATTTTATATAATTAATTTAGAGATGATATTTAAATCAAGTTTTTTATTCCTCCAATGTTATTCCCAACACCAGTTTTAAAAGAACTCATCTTGTTTGATAATGTATGCAGGTCGATGAGTTTGGATTTGTTTGGGAAAGAAAATTACTTAGTCAATTTCTTTATTTTATTTTTTTCATTTTGCTGTCAAAATAATTCCATTTAAAAATTAAATTTGATTCAATCTAAAACAATTTAAAGTTATTAAAATAAAAAATTATTCAATGACTACTTAAAATAACTATGTTGATTTGTCTTTTAATTTGACTATTTATTTCTCTCATTTTATTTGATACACTTTTTTCATGGGTATGAAGGTCTGATAACAATATTATATTTTAAATTAATCTAAACATAACAAGTTTATAAACACATTGAAATAGCAAATCGTACTAAAAGTATATATTTCTAATTTCTTAAATTGAAATATGACTAATATTTTTATTATCGTATTGTCATAATTAATAAAATTATATATATATATATATATATATATATATATATAAAATATTTTTTTTATGATACTTGTTTCGTATTGTTTAAAAAAAAATCATATGTAAAAGTTCCTAATAATTTTTAATTATATATATCTTGAGTTGTGAAAAGAATTGACGGAATAATTGATGAAAAATAAAGAGGATGTAATCTTGCACGAAGAGACAAAATGTTAAATGAATTGTAATTTCATTTACCATATTAAGAGATGAGTAACGAAGATTCACTATCATTAATTCTCTGAGCGGAATTGAGACAATGATCAAACGCAAAGTGCCGAGAAGCGTTGAAAGAAGGACAAACTTGTAAAGTGATTTAGAAAGTATTGAGGCAAATGAAGTCTTTGAGGTTGAAAAAACCTCAATCCATTAAACGAATTTCGTATGGGTAAGTCGATGGTAAAAAAGTTATTGAGTTCTCTTGAATATAAAATAGAAAAGATAAAGAAACAAAAAGATATAAATGGAGATATGAGCGTGAACAAAGAGAACCAAAGTCTAGGAACAATAACTAATTTAAGAGAACATATGTGTTTGTAATTTATGGTTTTTCTTTTTCTTACCATGAGTAGTTAATCTCACTTCTCATGGATTATTTTATTATTTTCGATTCCAATTTTCTAATTTTACTTTACTGTTTTGTTATTCAGTTTACAACTTAAATTTAGGTTTATCTGGACAATCTTAAATTTAATTATTGTATTCTTTTATTTTAATTAAAAGTAATTTTTTGATTTTGCACTTTATTCTAGCAAATTTTAAATTTAATTAAATGCATCATGTTTTTATTTTATAAGCTTTAGTTATTTAAATTGTTATTATTGTAATTTAATATAATTTTTTATTATTTTAATTTAATTTAATTTATTTTCCGCTTCTTTTATTTTATCATTATCAATTCCTTACTTGTTAAGTGGTAAAAAATTGATATAATTATGTCTTGAATTGTTATGAAACCACTTAACTTATATTAATTCTAATATATTTTTCTCCCAATATAAGATGAATTCGAGAATACTTTGATACAAGAATAAGGAGCATAATTGTCAGCATAATTGGAGTAAAATTGAAAGAAAGAAGAATGCTTAAGCGAATGAATGATGTGAGGCCCGAC